ACTCAATATTTTCGTTTTTGGTACCGCATATTTTCCCACAATACCCTCGGGAATAGGGAAAGCCTAAGGAGAAAATAATTCGGTTTTACTGGGGGGGGGGGGGGGGGGGGGGGAGTTCAGCGCGGCAGGTCGCAATGCGTCGTATGCCTGGCCTCAACGATTCCACCATCTAAAGGCCCTGGTTGCTGCTGCTACTGCTGTGGTTGCTGCGCGCGACGTTTCAGCTGATCAGCTGGGAGGGTCTCACGGGGGTCGGGGAGAACGCCCAGGTGGACATCATCCTCAGGTCAAAGGCGAACCTCTCTGACGACGCTTACTACGTGGTGGCCGCAGGAAACCGCAGGAATTCCACGGATGGGGTAAGAGAGAGAAGTACATGCACAACAGCCCGTGAACAACCCCCCTCCCCCTATGAGCCACCTTTGGCAACGTAGAAAGGCCATCGGTGATGATCGGTCCTGTGGGAACAATGCTCCGTCCTATCGAGGACATGTGGTGAATGGTCTAACAACTAAGTCATGCAATACATGGGATACCCCCCCCCCCCCGGTGTTTGCCATCGGGATTGGGTTTTCGTCGCTTGGCAACGACGTTGTAAAACATGCCGCCCCCCCCGGTGTTTGCCATCGGGGTTGGGTTTTCGTCGCTTGGCAAAGATGTTGTAAAACAACCCCCCCCCCCGGTGTTTGCCATCGCGATTGGGTTTTCGTCGCTTGGCAACGACGTTGTAAAAGAAGCCAATTCACTTCGTGAACTCGGCCACCCAGGTTACCGCTTTTTTTTACCTCTGTTTTTTTTTTTGGCGGTAACCATAATGGTCGTCGAGTAGATCATGTTGTGCGGGGTGGAGAAACCTCACTCCGCGCAAGGGGGATGATCGCACCACGTTGTGTTAAAATGGTCAAGCATCCTCGAGGCAGTTACACAGTGCTTACAACTGTCTCTGGAAGTGAAAGCACCAGAAAATAAATTACGTCATACGCAGCTGTCATCCGTACGCAAGGAAGTAAGCACAAGATGCCGAACACCCTCAGCAGGATGCAGCTCACCCTTCATGCGACTCGCCGAATACCTCACGGCGCTTCGCGCTTGGTGATGTGAGAGCCTGGTCCGGTGAGAACCCGGCGTGCTCCGTCCCGGCTTTGTAGGGATGCGAGGTCAATGGTCTAACGACTACGGCATGCACGACTATGAGTACACCCCCCCCCCCCCGGTTTTCGGTGTGAGGAGGTCTTGCGTTCCTCTAGACAAGTGGCCCCCTTTTTCAAGCGCCATTGACTAGGTTTTTAGGTGGAAACGCCCTCAAAAGCCGAGCCGAGATGCCTTGTGAGGTGGGAGTTTCAATCAAAGCTGCCTTGTGCTGCACAAACCAGCACAGCACGTCATCGCGCCCAGGGCGGGGGTCACCGCTGTCTCTCCCGCCCGTGTGTACCATCATATTGCGTCCCCAAAACTAGGAATTATGTAAGAAACGACCAAAAACGAAAACAACACCCACCCACCCACCCACGAAATATACTTCAACAAGTATCAAAGATGATCATCGCGCCTGTTTTTTTTTTCCACGCTTGCTTCTTGTCTCTCGTGTGTTTTGTTTGTTACTTTTTTCCCGCCGAACGAAGGAATTCTCCTGGGACAATCCGTCGGAAGCCTTCACGCCTGACGAGCTTGCTTCGGCGGCCACGTTTGAGGACAGATTTTTCCTGGAGGTGTTCGATGCCGTTGGTGGCGGTCTCATTTGCCGGTGAGTTTGGACCCCACGTCACGTCACGTCTACAACGTTTTTGTTTTGTTTTTTTTGCCCATTTTAGAACCCGTTGCAGTTCGCGGCTGTGGCTACAAATCTACAAAGAGAGTCTAGCTAACGGTTTTTAATTTTGGTTGGCGCTTTTTTCCAGGGCGGTACCCTAGCTACAAACCGGCTTTCGGCTCAAGCGGGTCCTTACGCCCCTTTTTTTTCCTCGGTGTTATTCGTCCGGAGAACGTCGGAGGCGGGTCCTTCGTCCTCTGTCTTTTTTTTGTTGTCTTGCTTTCTGAGTCCGTCCCCTTGGCTGAGAACGTTGGATTATTTGCCGGTTCGAACCACCGGGTGTGCTTGTTGGAGACCAAAAGTGTGCATCTTTTGTATATGCATGCGTCCTCCCCAGAGCCAAGATTTATAGAAACAACGTGAGCGAGACAATACTGTTAACATGCACACACGATTTGCAAGGCTCGTATGACGACAGCAAACAGCGTTATCATTTATTGTTGTTGCCACACTGCTGCATATACTGTCCGCAGGTCGCCCGAGTTCAGCCTGGAAGCGGACGACGCGTCGAACGAGTCGGACACCTCTACGTTGCTCCTGCTGCTCACGCCCGCGGCGCTGCTGCTGCTCTGCTGCTGCGGTGTATTCTTCGTGGCCTGCCCGTACTACGACAAAATTGTCCGGTGCGTGCGTTTTCTTGATTGCTGTCGCGGATAGTGATGTTGTCATCGTCGTTGTCGGTGCTGCTAATGCTTGCTCGTGTTGGTGTTACGCATAAATACGCACTGTACCACGTAAAACGGAAAGTCTTTGTGTGCATCAGATACATATACATCTGTTAAAAGTATATCTTGATTTTTTAATTTTTTTCCTTGTGTGTGTGTGTGTGTTTTTTTTGTTTTTTCGTTTGCTGCCCGTGCTTTGTGCGATCATCGTGCCTCTCCTTCCAGCAGGCGGCGTCGAAACGACCTTCGGCCTAGCCTGATCGATGTGGACGACACGTACATCATCGACGGCGAGGGACAACCGGCTATCCTCGCGTTGGATTCTCATGTACGCATGCATGATTGTACCCTTTGTGTGCGTGTTGTTTGTGGGTGTTTTCTACCGAAAGCGGGTGTGTTTTGGTGTCTGTAACGCATTGCCTTGTACGATAGACGGCGCTATCCGACGGAGAAGTGAGAACTGTCGGCTCGAGTCAATGAAAGAGAAACGCGCACACCTAAACGGCCCCTATCCACAACCATCAGGGGCTTGCGGGTGGGGAGGGGAGGGGGGGCAAGGAATGGACCTAGCGGAAGGGTTGAGCTCTAAAGAGGGGCACGCTCACGTCTGGCAGCCGGTGACCTCTGCACTATATATTATTTCTTGAGTTTGTATGCACAGTGAACAACGGTCTTTTGGCGCCCGCTGCGTGCTCTGTGACCGGTTCTCGATGTGTGAAGTTGTTCGTCGTATTGTAGTGTCTGCTGTTGGCACAGGTTTGTTCGTGTTTTGAGCCTCATGACCCTCTGGCTTGTCTCTTGGAACACGTTTTCTTCCATCGGGGCAGCCGTGGCACGGTCGTCTGTCTGTCTTGTCTCTGTATATCTGTATATCCGCACTCTGCACTCCTTCTCTTTTTCTCGCACCGTCCACCTCTCACATCCTTTCTTCTCTCGATTTTGTGTAACTCTCTCTCTCTCTCTCTCTATCTATCTATCTCTCTCTCTCTCTCCCTCTCTCTCCCTCTCCCTCTCCCTCTCTCTCTCTCTCTCTCTCTCTCTCTCTCTCTCGTGGTTATGAATTTACGCATTTCGTGCGGAACCAGCATTGCCTTGTTTAGCCCCCCACCTCTTCCCGCCTGTCGCAAGAAAAAAAGCAATCCGCGATTCGGATGGCAGACGCTTCCTTCCCCAACATCCCAACATCCCCACCCGACTCGAAAACGAACAACCTCCCTCACGGCACTCTCCGGGGGTTCCCAAACTCGCCGCAAACCTCCACTCACAGGTGATACCCCTAGCCCATGCCCACTTCTGGCCGATCGACGTGACCGGCAGCCTTAATGCAAGCCGCAACGGCCCCTCCTACGTCCTCCGGCGAGCGGGGTCGGGCAATGGCGGCGGCGGCAGCGGCGGCGGGGGAGCGACCACCACTAACTCGGGCAGCTGGACCAGGACGGTCCTCGCGATGGGCCACAGCGTCACGGAGAGCATTGGCAGGGCGGCCGGCCTAACGATTCACAGCGCCGGCACGAGTGGAAGCGGCGGCGGCGGCGGCGGGCGGGGGGCCGGGGGGGTGGGTGGTTCTGGGGGGAGCACCGGACGGAACGGCGGTCACGTGGCCGGGGATCATCTTGCCCTCGACGACGCGTGTAGTGGCGTTGCCGCGGTCGCGGGAAGGGGGGCGAGCGTGGCCGGGAGCGGGGAGGTGGTGTCGAGCTCGTCTTCCTGGGGGGGGATGAGATCGGGGGCCACGTGGGCGTTTGGTGGCGGTGAGAGTGCACCTGCTGCTGTTTCTGTTGCTGCTGTTGCTGTCGTTGTCGTTGTCGTTGTTGTTGTTGGCCATTGCTGCCGTTGTTGCCGTTGGTGATGGCTTTTTTGGGTGCCTCTTTTTGGCGTTTTGGCACTGTCCGAAGCGGACAGAACGAAATACTCACGTACAACGATCATGCTCCGCACAATAGAATATATCACGAAACTCGCCGCCGAAGGCCAAACTGCAATCTACAACAACCCGGGCACCGCTCGTTTTCCCCCCCACCAGGCGGAAGCATCGGCCGGCGGAGCGGCGGTAGGAGAGACGGGGGCGGCGTCTACCCCACCGCAGCAGCTGCCCTGGGGCTCGGGTTAGCGCCCCACCATAGCATGGAAGAAAAGTCTGAAACCGCTGCCACGACCGGGGGCACCGCAGCTGCAAGCGGCGTTGGCGGGGGGGGGGGAGAGGGAGACTCGTCCGCCGCGTCCACGTCCTCGAACAACAATAACAGCAATTTGGATGGGTTGGCGGGGTTTGGAGGAGGGAGGAGGCTTTCCGGTCGGGGGGGGGTAGCGGGGAGAGGCGGCGGAAGAGTCGTGGGGTGGTGGTGGTGGTGGCGGTAACCTGGCCGAAGGCGGTTTCTTTTTCGTTCCTGCTGCGGGCGGAATCGCACCGGGGGCAGCAGCAGGTGCGCAACTACCGCACCGCACCGGGTGTTACTCGTTGGTACCCTTCTCATGGTAGGGGGTTCGTTTTGTATAGGGAAAGCGTTTTTGAGCCACCTTTGGGAGGAACGATTGATCGGTCATCGGTGGTCATCGGTCCTGTGGGAACAAACGCTCCGCCCTCTCGAGGACGCGTGGTGTGACAACTTCAAGGCATGCGGAACATGAGTACCCTCCCCCCCCCGACCCGTTACGCACACAGGAGGAAATGCGGCGGCGGTGGCCCCGGCGGACGACAGCAATAGCGCCCCCTCTGCATCGTGGTACTCGAGGCAATCCTCGCTAGTAGACTTTGCTGCATTGCTCGGGCGGGCGGAGAACAGCAGCAGCAACAACAACAACAACGGCGGTGCACCGGAGAGCGGGGGCGGCTGGATGCCCGGCGTGGGCAGGAACGCGATCGGCGCGGGGGTGCTGGGGAGGGTCGGCGGCGGTGGCAGCGGCGGCAGCGGCGGCGGCAGCGGGAGCTACGACAGGGAGAAAGTGGTGACTGTCATCGTTACTGGTGTGGAAGCGGACCAGGTCGAGATCGTCGAGGTCTCTCGGGCCGTCGCCCTCGAGTGAGGTCACAGTATGATTTTTGTATGTATTGTATGTGTTTTATTTTTATTATGTATTTTGTATGTGTTTTGTATGTATTTTGTACCTGGTATGTGTTTTATATGTATTTTGTATGTGTTTGGTATGCATTTTGTATGTGTTTTGTATGTATTTTGTACGTGTTTCGTATGCGCCGAGCAAGTGGAGTTGTGCATGGCGGAGGCATTAAATTGTACTCTGGGGGTCCTACATGCTTTCGCAAGGAAGTGCGCCGCACGCGGAGTTATGTACTACAGTACTTCTATAATAGCATAGGTGTGTATGCAGGAGGCATAAAAACTGTGTACGGGCGGGGGCTTTGTTCCGTCTGACTTTCTCGCCAGAGAGTGCTGATATTGTCGTGGGTTGACGTATCTGGGAGGGTCGCCTTTCTTTTCCCCTCTCTGTTTCCATTGCTCATCTCCCCTCCCCCCCTCCCGACGGGGCCCCGTCATTTTTCGTCTTTTTTTCTTTCTTTTAATGTCATTTTTACAGCGAGGCCGGGGTGGAAATACCGGCGATGACGACAGCAGTCGTGGGCTTGGAGATCATGGAAGACTTCTCGGACCACGAGTCGATGGACGGCAGAGTCGCGACGAGCCCGATTCACTCCCCTGCTGCCATGGCGTAGTCGGTCGGTCCGCTCCCTTGCCGCCGACAGAGGACGGGACGGGTAGCGCCTTAACGGTGCCCTCGTCTCGTCTCCGCGGCAGCGGGGGCCGCGCAGAAAATACGAGAGTCTGATCTCGTTCATAAGTTTGTTGTCTTCTTTTTTTTTCATTACGTGTGTCGTGTCTGTGTGTGTTGTGTTTGTGGTCTCCTACCTCAACATTCGTAAGCGTTACGCGGGGGATGGTGTAGCAAGTAGTTCCATCCCTCACCAAACAGGGCTCTGATAGTGCTCTTGTAGCTCTTCCCTTTCTTGTCGGCCGGCTGGCTGGCATCGATACCAATCATCAGCCATCATCGCTTTGAGCTTTCTTGAATCTTGAGAATACCATTTTTTTCTGGAGACGCATGTGGACAACCATGACGCCTCTTTCGACGAGGCGCTAGTCACTAGTGGCACGGGCGGGGGGCGTCGGTTGTTTTTCTGCTGGCCGCAGCCTGTCGTCGGGTGTGCAATCAGCTTACTGCCTGTGTGCTAGATTTGATGGATGTCGCCTACGCATCATGTCCTTCGGTTCATCGAAGATCAAGTGTTGCGCCGATTTCGGACGCAAAAAGAAAGTGTCGCGTGTTTCTCCAGTACCACTTTTTTTGGGTGCTTGCATTACATATTACGCTGAACAGTTATTGTTGGTGTTTTTTTACATTTGTTTTTTATTTCTAGTCGTTGTCAGGAATCTTGCGTGTGTGTTTTTGCTTTTTGAATGCCCCGACGGGGTGTGGACACGTAGACACACCTACGGCCGATGGACCCATCCCCTCGTTGGCGCAGCCTCTTTTTTCTGTTGTGCCATCATCCACGGCCTCCGATGATACGTGTGCACGCTCTGCCGATATCCTAGGTCGCAGACAACTGCCGGTGTGTAGCGTTCGCTTTGCTCTTTGGAAGTAAGCACTCGTCGGACTGAACCCCTGGGGTCTTGGGGCGG